GCGCTGGGGTGGGGTCCCCGCCCGCGGTCCTGGCCGGGCGCGGCGCGGAGCTGAGCGCTGCTGCTGTGTCTTGCAGGAGAACGGGCGCTGCATCACGAAGCTGGAGAACATGGGCTTCCGGGTCGGGCAGGGGCTGATAGAGAGGTGAGTCCGGCGCTTGGCTCCGGAGGGGACGCGGACCCCAGCGTCTTGTCCAGGGGCGGCCGCTCCCCTGTCGGGCTGGTCTTTGCTGCTGCAGCCTGGGGGCTGTTTTGATAGTGCCCAAAACTAGTAAGAATTTTGTTTCCTTCTCCGCCCTCAAGGCAGGTCCTTCTTCCTCCCCTGTTTGCCAGCTGCTGCTTGCCCCGCTGCCCTGGGGGCGAGGAAGCTTCAGAGCCACTGCTGCCGGCTCCAGCTGGGCTGTGTGGGGCTGGGTTCTGAACAGCTACAACTGGAGCGGGGGTTGCCAGGGGTTTTCAGTCCCCTGGGGAAGGGCAAGGTGGGGGAACTCACCCCCCTCCCTTCCCAAATCACTTGCAGCTGCTTTCCCTAAGCCGGTGGTTTTCAACCTGTGCTGTGGACTCCTGGAGGTCTGCAGACTGTATAAGGGGTCCACTAGAGAAGACTGTGATTAGGGGCCTACCTAAATTGTAGCAGAAGTTTGTGGCACAGCAGCACCTTTTAATCTTGCTCTTTTTGCTGCACCCTTACCACTGAATGGCCAAGAGGCAAAACTGTGCTCTGCCACTCAGCAGGGGGAGGGGGGGGAGCATGGCGAAAAGAGCGAGATTAAAGGCACTACTGTATCATGAACCTCCACCGTGATTTAGGTAGGTCTCTATGATCAGTCAAAAGTATGTGAATACCCACACTTGCAGTTCAAAGGGGTTCACACCTTCATTTGAAAATTTTTAGGGGTCCACAAATGAAAAAAAAGTTGAAAACCCCTGCTCTAAATGGAACCCCCTGTATAGTCTGCCTGGAATGGCTTTGAAGCTTTCTCCACCCCTAGAAAAGTAGAGAAAAGCAGCAGCAGGCCCGGGAGGGGACATGACTTGAGCATGGAGGGGAAGATGAGATACTTGTCTGCTTTGGCAACTTTGAAAAAGTCCTCAGTGGCTCCCGTGGCTCAGTCTGTCCATGGGTTGGAGGTGGGAGGGACTGGCAGCAGGGGTGCAGACATCCCTGAAGCAGGGTGGCTACTCCTACACCCCCTTATTGTCAAATTCTGGATCTGCCCTGGTCTTGTCCCCACCCACAGCAGGCAGGGGCTTGGAGCACCTGTTTCCAGCTGTCCTCTGCTTTTTCCACTTGGAAACCGTACATACTTTTTGTTACTGAAGTCAGGATCATGAGACTAATTCCCAGGAACCCTTCTAGTGACCTTTTAAAAGATATGCAATGGAAGGACTATTTTAGTGATATCTTTACTGGCCCAACTGTGTACAGGCATGTTGCATCTTACGCAGGGGTTAGGTTCTGAGGTCAGCGCATAAGGTGAAAATTGTGTATAGTCAAATCGCCAGCGATTTGACTAGCGGTGACTGCCTCTGCCTCCAAAACCTCCCGCCGCCACCATGGAGCCGTGCTTGGAGCTGTGCGGCTGGCGGCAGCAGCACAGCGCGGGGTGGGGGTGGGGGGATGGCTGCGTGCCGCCAGGCCATCACCACGCTGCCAAAACCTCCTGCTGCTGCCGCAAACTCAAGCCCTGCCCCCCTCCCACCCCGCATATAGTTGAATTCGCGCAAGTTAAATGTGCGTATGACGTGACTGTACTGTAGTTGAGAGAGAGGTTAGACTCGTTTTTCTCAGGTCCCCAGACCTTCAGACAGACCTAAGGAAGGACACTTTGTGCCTGAAAACTTGACTAACCCAGTTGGTCCAATTTAAAAAAATAAAATAAAATAAATGCTTGCCTCATATTTCCTGGACCATCATGACTGTGTCATTGCTCCAACCCTACTACTAAAAGATAACTGCTTGCACTTTTGGCAGAGGAGCTGCTTTCATAGCTGAACTTAGTATTAAACATTTCACACCTTAATTGACAAATTTTGGATGACTGTAATCTCATTCTGGTAACTAGATCTTCTTTTCAAGTTCACTTCATCAGAGGCTGTAGAATTCACCAGAAATTACTCAGACTTATTTTCTAGTAACAAAAATGGGGTACCATCAGAGAGACAGGTGTCAAAAGGGGTGCTAGAACTAGTGACACTGTAAGTGGAACTAGTTGCCAGACTGAGATTACAATTATATATATTTGTCTTATTTATTTATTCTATAAAGGTGTATATCTACCCTAAATTCTGAGACAAACAAGTTTGCCATTTTCTGAAGGATGCCTCTGTCTTGTATAATCTCTTGAATTTTGTTATTTAACCATACTCTGTTGTTTTTCTTATCTTTCTCAGTTCTTTTTCTTTTCAGGATGTGCATGCCTTTTATGACCATCTTGGTCATACCACTAAAGTGGTTTAGGAATAGGGCTGCGCAAAACTTTGGTAGCTGATTTGATTTGGAGGAGATTTGGCCTGATTTGGGGTCTGAATCTCTGAATCCGAATACAGTCAGGAGCCCAATTAAAAGCTCTGAATAGATTCGAAGCATCCGAATAGATCGGAAAAGCTTTGGAAAAGGTTCAGCCGCTTCAGAGATTCAGCCATAAACTAAACAGGCAGCTGAGAAGTCTGTTAGGGGAGGGAGGGAAAGGGCTGGGGGAGGGAGGTATTACGGCTGGGACTCGGACAAGCTGCCCAGCAGGGGGGAGGGTGGGGGCGCAGGACGCGGGATGCGGGCTCAGTAGCGTTCCGAGTGGGGGCTCTGCCCTGCTGCTGCTTGTCCAGGGAGGGGGGCAGGGGTGGGATGTGGGCACAGCTCGTTCCAGGTGGAAGGGGGCAAGCGGTAGCAGGGAAGATCCCCTACTCCCAGCTGTGCTGTGTCCGCACCCCACACCCCCCGTGCCAGCTGGCAAGTGGTGGCAGGGCGGAGCTCCCACTCCCAGTGCTGATGCGGGTGTGGCAGCACTGGGAGTGGGTGCTATGTCCTGCTGCTGCTTGGAGTGAGCTGCGCCTGAATCATGCCCCCGTTGCACCGGCTGGGCAAGTGGCAGCAGGGCTGACCCCTCACAGTTCCCTCTGCAGGGGCAGAAGCAGGCACACCCAGAGGAGCCGCGGGAGAAGCCCTCCTGGTTGCCCTGCCTGGCCCCATCCCCTGCCTGGCCGCAGCCTCCCAGCACTTTCAAAAAACACTAAAAAACCCCACCCAAAAAAGCCCTGCATTCACCGACTGCAGCAGTGGCGACTGGGGCCTTTGGGCGCTCGTGGCAGATCCCCCCCCCCCAAATCCTCTCTCCAAATCAGCGCCGAATCTTCTGAAGCCGATTCGGCTAAATCGATTCAGGACAGTGATCCAAATCGAATCACTGCCCTCCATATTGGCTGAATCCGAATTGAATACTTCCCTATTTGCACAGGCCTATTTAGTAAGCCACTTACGGGTTACTGATGTGTATACAAGTATCTAAGGATTTGTTTCCTTATCTTTAGTGTGATTTGTAAACTTAATTTTCTAAAGTTACAAGCATATAGATTAACATGAACATACTTTGTCATCTATAAGGATAATTAGAGAATAATATGTAAGGATGGAGAAAAATTAAGAAGTGAGGCCAGGATCACTCTAAGAATGTAGAACGAATGTTAACTCAGGAATGTTAGTTGTAAGCATATGATGGTATATTATCTTCTCTGTTATTTTAACACAAGCTGATGTAATAGAGACTTCCCTCGCTTTATGTGGGTTCTGTATGTGCAAATTCACTGTTACGTGATGACCCTTTTATACTAAAAATTCATTATATGCAAGGTAAATTCACTCTTATGCGATTGGTGTGGTGGAAACCCACAGTCAGCTGCTTTGTGCGATGCATTGTGGGAGTGACACACACCAAAATATGGCCTCCTGTGTGGATCTGTGCTCCTTGCTTGTGGTATGTAATGTGTTTCTGTAGTTGCCATACTCATTATGGTAACATTCACCACCACCCTGTGCTTGTGCATACTACCTGCTGTGAGTGCCACGGGATGGGGCCGAGTTGTAGCAAGGCCTGGGAGAAACAACTCGGCCCCTTGTCCTCACTGGGCTGCCCTGCAGCCCTGTTTCTGTGCCCCTTGGCGCTGGGCCCTCTACAGCCCTGCCTCTGTCTTTGCGCCCCTAGTGCAGTGCCTTTGCTGGCATTGGGGTCTGTGCACCCCAAATACCACACCCTTGCTGGCTCCAGGGTCCCCCCACACTACAGTGGGCCCCCCCAATGAGGCCGCCTCCTTCCCCAATAGCCTCACCCAAACCACCAGTTGTTATGAAACAGCAAACAAAACATAAGCCCCTGGGCTATAACATGACACATAGGTTCCAATTGTGCTCCACCCCTTTAAAAGAATCAACTTTGCCCCTGGCATTACCAGAAGCTAGACTACCCCTCAGGCCTCTTCCCATAGCTCCCTCTAGGAGAGCTCCTTCCCACTTGGCTGCTGGCAGCAAACTGCCTCTCCTAGTTCCAGCTTGGGGTTTATATGGGCCCATGGCCCTGCCCCTTCTGGTCAGCTGACCAAGTGCAGCTGCAGGCTGATTTGCTCTCTAGCCTGTTGCCCTGGTAACCTGCACGTGGGCTTCTGTCTGTCTCTGGGCTTTCCTCAAGCAGTTTCTGCTCTTCTAGGAGCAGGCACCTTAGTGCCCTGTGACAGTGAGTACCTCAGTTGTCTTGTAAAAGTGGTAAAAATGGGTCTGAGGGTCAGTACAGTTGAGGTCTTGGAACATACCCCTATTTGTTACATTGTGAAGTGGGTTCCCTTTATGCGAATTTGAGCTGTGCGCTGTTTTCCAGGAATGCATGTACAGCATAAAGCAAGGGAAACCTGTACTTCTGAAAGATCTCACACACTAGCTTATGCTTAAGTGGACTGCTTTAATAGTAAAGCTTTCTGAATTGTTCATCCATTAATTAGCCATGCTTTTGCATTTAAAAATCAGTTAATTCAAGGTATAAGTGTTACCATAACTGCTCTATTGTGTGTCTGTTTAAACAACATAAGAAAAACAGAATATTATGAATGCATTGTGAAAACCAAGTGACAACAGCAATTTTACATTACAATTTTCTGTCATGGATATGTTTAGATCTCAGTTGTCATGTTACATATACCTTGCCTACACTTAATATTTATTATTTACATGGTGTGTGGTCAGTTGAGTAAATCACACTGTTTACTTGAACAAAATCAAACTAAACATACCTGGTCACTCTTCATAGGTTTACTAAAGACACTGCCAGATTCAAGGATGAGTTAGACATTATGAAGTTCATCTGCAAAGACTTTTGGACTACTGTATTCAAAAAGCAAATTGATAATTTAAGGACCAATCATCAGGTATTGATATTGTGGCATAAGTTACTTTACTTTGAGTTTTGTTACGAAAATTCATTTGAAGCATTAATAATGTTGCTTTAGTTTGTCTGAAATTAATCACTAATGTATTTCAGATGTGGTAATAACCTTTATTTTTCTTTTTGTTAATCCTAGTTTAAAAAAGCAGTCATCTTTTGCTATGTTACTGAATATTAATTTTAATGATATGCTGATTTTGGCATAGAAAATTATTTTAGTGCAGACTTGACTGTAACATGTTTTAGCAATTGTACTTTCCATGTTAAACAACCATATACAATTCGCCAAACAGTTTTTGTAATACTTCTACACTAACTGACTTAAGGCCAGAAATAGAGAGTGCAGTTTCATTTTGTCCTATACAAGCTCTGTAAGAGCTTCATAGTATAAACATTTGTTTTAGCAATCGATCAAGGCTCTTTTTATCTCAAACTTCATGCCTCACATTTCACTAGAAAGGCTTCCTTGAAGTCTTCCACTTTCAGGTCAAATTGGGTGTTATCTTTTGAAACACTCTGTTGCACCTTACTGAAAATATTTATGCATGAAAAATGGATGAGCTTTCCCTGCAAAATGATGTTCTACTATTATTTGAGATCCATGATATCAAAACTTAAACGGTGTCCAGCATACGTATGTGTATAGATCATCTAATTATAATTGTAAGCTGTTTGTATTGAGAAAGTGAGAATGCTTTTACTCGTATCCTTTTGGTTACCTATTTATTCTTACTCCATTCCCTTTCCTCAAAAATTATATACTATATGTAAACACAGTTGAGTTTGATAAATATTAACTATAATAAATCATACTTTTAACTCTAGTATTGCTGTTAAAATAATTTTTCCAAACTGTAAAGACTTCTTTGACTAACATGCCAGTCATTAGGAAAATTCCATCTTGATGACTTTAATGCTAGAAAGATTTGTGCTAAAATGTAAACTAGCTAGTCAGATATCACAGTGGTGAGTGATAGGACTCTTATGTACATAATTATTACAGAGTTCTAATTGTAATGAATCTTAATGTGAAACTTTTGTTTAAGTTGGTCATATGTATTATTGCTTGTTTGTGTATAAACTCGCAATTTGGGTATCCTATCTTTGTTTCAACTATGAAGAAGCAAAGCAGTAAGGAAATAATCCCATTTAAACTTTCCAGTCTTTATATATAGTATAAATCCAGAGCTTCTGTTTTAATCTGAAAACATTTTACTGTCCTCTAACTGTCTTCTACAAAAGATGATGGATTTCCCTCCCAAAAATGTTGATTTAATCATGTTGCTAAATGTACTGCTAAAAAATATTTTTCTCTGCAGGGCATCTATGTACTTCAGGACAACAAATTTCGTCTCTTGACTCAGATGTCTGCAGGGAAACAGTATTTAGAACATGCACCTAAGGTAATATTCATATGTAGCTGGGAAAACTAGCAGTTTCAGAACTAAGTTTATCTTAAGTCAATTGTGCTAATTCCTTGGTAGGAGTTGGGTAAATATATGTTTAAAATAGATAAAGAATATTTTCTGTGAAATACTGTTTGATTTAGAGCAGTGGCATCCAACCTTTTGGCCCTGCAAACCAGATGAGTGGTACTGGGGCCAGTTTGCAGGCTGGGTTGGCGCACGGGTTTGGACACTGCACACCAGGTGTAGTGGCTTACCGGCCCAACCCAGCCTGGACCTGTGCACCTGGACACAGCAGCATGCCAACCTAGCTTGGCCTTGTGTGCACAGATAAGGCCCCATGCACCAGCCTGGCTCCATACAGTGGCACAGTCTAGAGTGCAGTGCTATGTTATCTGGCCCATGGACCAGTGGGAGTTACCACTGCCACTGCTCCCCTGCCGCCAAATTTTTGGAGCCCTGGGGGCTGGATGACATGCCTTTGCAGGCTGGAGAGTGAGCACCCCTGGACTGGAGGTTGGTAAACTTATCCTGTTCTAGCTGGAGACAGCACATTTGATAAAAGCTAATGGAATTTAATTTGATTAAATAATTCTGGCCATTTTGAAGCTTACTGGTGTCATGTTTGAGTTGTATGATGGTACTTTCTCTTCAAGGGGTTTCTTTTGTTCTACCTGGGAACGCAACCGCTATCAGATCACACTTCATTCTTTGGAAAGTAATACAGCAAGACAGAAAATTGTAATGTACAGTGGAGATAACCATTAGCTCTTTCAAAATGTCTTCCTTTACCTTTGGAAAGCAGATAATTTTTGGAATTTCCTATTTTTCCCCATTTTCCCAAGAGAGACTATGGGCATGTCTTCATTCCAACTGTTTTGTCCTATTTACCCACCTGCAGTGCTGCATGAAATTTTGTTGTCTTTAGCCAAGTGTCTTGAGGGCTATCATATTCCCCTGTCTGACATGAAACCACTATAATATAGTCCTGTACTTTATTGGTTAATATATTAGCACTACTTCATAATTTTTGATGGTGCTGACATGGTATACTTTCTATATTTAGTATCTAGCATTCACTTGTGGATTAATCAGAGGAGGTTTATCAAACTTGGGAATAAAGAGTATTGTGACAGCAGAAGTTTCAGTAATGCCTGCATGTAAGTACTCAATTGCTCTTCTATGTAATAGCTTTCCCTCCCTCTTAGTTGGTTGAGAGTTTGAAATCATTGGGCCAAAGCAGAGAGTACAAACTCAGTTGCATGACCTATTATTAAAGCTGTGCTATTGACAGAGTTAATGAGGAAGAAGAGCATGACTACTAAGTGGAAAACAAAACCAAGATGCATACATAGACAAAAAAAATTTAAAAGCAGCATCCACATTATGTGAGTGGCTACAGGGGGAAAAAAGGAAAGTTCTAGCCAAATAAAGTTTACAGTTGCTGCCTGAGTATCTCTGATGACTTCGCCTTCTGAAGAATTTCAAGTGCCGTGAGATTTAATTTCTTTTTGGTTCAACCTAGAACAACACTGGGAAAATGAACGTGCTGTAGCTGCCAACAAACTAACCAGTCCCCAGTCCTCCTCAGTATCTTCAGGAAACCATTGGCGAGGTGGTGTGACTTCATGGGCTTCACTGTCAAATACATGATTCAGTTGAGAATTTCCTACAGGGTTGTGCACAAGTTTAAATTATTTTTAAACAGATTTAAAACTGAACTTAGAATATAGACAAGCTTGTAAACAGAATTTTGACTGGACTTAACAAAAATATATATATTTCTAGACTAGATTATTTAGTAAAACAGGGGACTGTGCTATTTAACAGCACTTCTGAAAAAAGCAATTAGAAAGCAGCTGTTTCATGAGGATAAAATAATTGAGTTAATGATAATTGGTAACTTGATTATGCTTTTTTTTTTTTCCAGGTAAATTTCAGGTAATGATACAGAAGATGTAGAACATGTTCGGATATGGATGCCTCCGCCTTTTTAAAAACATGTACATTAAATACCTTAGTTGATTAGCTCTATAGTTTGTGTACAAAGTTACTGTGATATGCTGCAAAATTCCTTCATTATGTATAGTAAATGTTAATTAAAATGAAACTATTACTAATATCTTGGTGTGACGTTAGTGAGTTCTATACCAAGATATTAAATATCCAGCATGATACAAATTCGGTAGATTCAGCAACAGAAACATTTCGGTTACCAGCTCGAGATATACCAAAGACTTCAGGCATATGTATTTTCAGAATCTTCAAAACTGGGAAAGGAAATCTGGTTAAGCCTAAATCAAAATAGAACTGGTGTTATAGAGTACCTGGATATCAGCTGTAATTTCACAGATCTCATTGCCTTGCTCCAAGCTGCTCAGGCAGCACTTACTTTTTCATTATTTTGGAGTGGTCACCTTTAGTTCTTAGGAGTGATGGTTATTTATACCTTCAACTAGAGGAAAGGTGGGGAGAAAAGATAGGATAGGACCTTTTGTAAATGATCAAATGCCATTGCTGTTTGTACAGCAGGCTGTACTGTAGAGTAGGAGAGGTGAATTCTCCAACTAAGGTCATGTACCACTAGACAAAGATAGGAATTTAGTGGAGTTTCAGTAGTGCAGTAACAGAATGCTTTCTTTTATTGCAGAATAAAGCTTTTGTCCTTTAACAGGCCACATGCGGGTAGATAAGTGGGTGTGGATGGAACCTCCCTGATTTCACTGAGGCTCTGTAAAAGCATAGGGGTTTGCTATACAGTATTTGTTGCTGGACGGCACTTATCATATAGAGTGCATGCTTTGTTTTGAAGCAAGAATGAACATAGCATAATTTTAAATTAGTACAGTTTGCTGCAGGGAAGATTTCAGAGGATCAGTTCAGGTACTAGTCTTTCTACTGTAAACACATGCTTTGTTTTTAACAGCTAACTGGAACTTGGTGAATAACAATGCCTTCAAACAAGCTGTGCTGCTCTGAGCATGTTACCACCTGAACTGGAAGCAGTGTAGACAGGTTTGCAGTTCTGTGGGTGGCTAATTTAATCTGGATACAACAGTATATGGATGTGTGGTGGTACAGCATCCAGTTTAGAGGTTAGCCTAAAGGAGTGCAGCCTGTTGCACAGCACTTAAGTTTGCAGGGTAGATGTGCTGAAAGTATTTGAGTGACAGTATATACATTTGGAGCAGTGTCAAAAAGAAAGGGAGTTGCTGCCCTGAAGCATGCAGCAACTTTTTACTGTAAATGTTTCATGCACATAATTCTGTAATGATACAAAGGAGCTGTTTGCACAATCTCTGTGACAAAATTGTGAAGAGGGCATGCAGTCTTGGTTTTAACTTTACTCTTTTAGAAAGCATCTACAACTGAACTGGAGTAGTAGTGAGGAAAAAGTATGATGCTGTCCTCTTCATGTAAAAAACTAAGGTGGAAATAATCACTATCTTGTATCAGGGCCAGAATGAATTAAGTCTAATGGTACAGAGCATTGGGTCCTAGCATAACTTTTAAAGAGCAGTCATTTACTTATATCAGTAGCAGTTATACTGGTATAGGATTTAGAACAGAATAGGCTTGTCTGCAGAGGAGGTATAGTTCACATACAGTGTAATAACCTGTGTTTATGTGATACAGTTACAATGTCATGAAGTGCTTAATGTGTTACAGAAGTGCATAAAGGAATCAAACATTCCTGGATAGCTCCAAAACAGTTAATAAAACAGCCATTGTTAAGGAGGAAATGGAAAACATCATTATGTCACTATTCAGATCCATGGTGTGCCCACATCTTAAGCACTGTGTACAGTCCTAGCCTGCAGCTCAAAAAGGGCGTAATAGAATTAGAAAAGGTATAGGGAAGAGAAACCAAGAAGATCAGGGGTATAGAGAAGTTGCTGCACCAGGAGAGACTAAAAGGCTAGGATGGCCTCAGTTCAGAGGATAGAAGGCTGAGAGGGAGATCTGTAGAATCATGATGGTTGTGAAAGGGAATAGGGAACTGTTACTCACCACCTCCCAGAATATTAGAACGAAGGGGTACTCACTGAAATTAGTAGGAAGCAGGTTTAAGACTAAAAGAAGAAAGTATGTTTGTATGCAGTGTAGCATTAACTTGCGGAACTTATTACCACAGGAGGCTGTAGTGGTAGATAGTATAGTTGGGTTAAAAAGGGATTAGAGAAATTCATAGATGACATCTATGAATAGAGAGGTAGTTAGTCATGCATGCCTGAAGTCAAGAGAAGGCAGGGTAGATTTGCACCTTATAGACCAGGGGCAGGCAAAGTCTGGCCCATGGGCTGGATTGGGCATGCAGTGGACACAGTACTCCAGCTGTGGCCTGACCAGTGTTGTGTAGAGGGGGAGGATCACCTCCTTGGCCCTACTTGAGATGCACCTGTGGATGCACGATAGGGTCTGGTTAGCCCTGCCGACCATAACCTCGCACTGTCGGCCCATGTTCATCTTGGAGTCAATGATGACTCCAAGATCCCTTTCTGCCTCCGTGCTCTCAAGAAGGGAGTTTCCCATCTTATAAATGTGCTGCTGGTTACTGGAGGCATTCCCCTCGAGTCCGTCTTGAATCACGGTGGGGGAGTCCCGGTCCCTGCACAAGAAAACGGAGGTGAAGAATTTGTTAAAGATGTCTGCCTTCTCCTCTGGCGCAACCACCAGATTGCCCAGCACATCTTGCAGGGGCCCCACGTTGCCCGGTGCCTTCTTCATCCTCCCTATATATTTGAAAAAGGCCTTTTTCTTATCTTTGATCTTGGACGCTAGTCCTAACTCTATGTCCGCCTTGGCTTTCCTAACAGCCCCCCTACAGGCCCGAGCAGTGGAGGTATACTCCTCTTTGGAGATAGTCCCCCCTTCCACCAGGTGTACGCTGCCTTTTTGGCAACCAGGCATTCCCGGACGTCCTTGGTGAGCCAGGGGGGCTTTTGGACTCTCTCGCCCCCCTTGCTTCTTGTTGGGATCGTCACCCCTTGGGCCCCGAGTATCGTCTCCTTAAGGAACGACCACTCATCTTGGGCACTGAGTTCCCCTGCCCTCGAGGACCCCAGTGCCTCTCCCACCAGTCTCCTCAACTTGTTGAAGTTGGCCCTGTTGAAATCTAGGGCTACCGCCTTGCTGCAGGCCCTTGTCACCCTGTGCTGGATGATGAATTCCAGCAAGCGATGATTGCTATCACCCAGGTGGTCAAGGACCTGGAGCCCCCTTACCAGATCATCGCCTGTGGCCAGGACCAGGTCCAACAGGGCATTTCCTCTGGTGGGACTGTGCATCTCCTAAGTGGAGGTCCTGTATCTCGGCCAGGAACCTCCTGGAACAATCCGACCTGGCTGACTACTCCTCCCAGCAGATGTCCGGGTAACTTAGATCACCCATGATACTACATCCCTTGCCTTAAGTGCCTCTGCAAGCTGGCCTGAAAATTCCCGGTCCAGCTCCTCCCCTTGGTTGGGGGGGCTGTAGTCTACTGTTAAATCCCTCTCCCCACAACCCCCTTGTATCTTGACCCAGAGCACTTCAGCTTGTCCCTCCTCTGACCCCATTTTGCTGGCAGAGGATGTGTATTGCTCTTTGACATAGAGCGCCACATCCCCTCCCTTCCTTCCTTCTCTATCCCGCCTGTAGAACCTATAGCCCCTAATGCTAACTGCCCAGTCGTGGGATGAATCCCACCACGTTTCTGTAATCCCTACTATGTCTGGGTTTGAACTGGCTATTCTATTAATAGTATGTGCTTATGGGGATACACACCCTTACCTGGGCACCTTGCATGTGTCACCTGTCTTGCTCGGGTGGTGTCTCCACGTCTTCCTGCGGCCCCCTCCCCCGGTGAGGCTAGTTTAAAGCTCACCGTACGAGATCAACCAACCTGGAAGAGAAGACATGCTTGCCTTTAGGAGAGAGGTGAAGCCCATCCCGCCCCAGCAAGTCCCCTGTCCGAAAGCATGGGTCATTATCTAGGAACCCAAGGCCTGCCTGGCAGCACCAACTCCATAAATGCCGGTTGACCTCGCCAATGCAGGTCTCGTGTCGCCGTTCCTGCCTACTCACCGGAAGAAGCGAGGAGAACACCACCTGCGCCCCTGTCTCCTTAAGCTTGGCCCTCAGAGCCTCGAAGTCCTTCATAATGTGGTTACGGTTGCCCCTGGCTGCGTCATTTGTTCCCACATGAATGACAACCATGGGGTAGTGGTCTGCAGGTCGGATGTAGGCCGGGATCCTCTCCGTGATGTCCCAAACCCGAGCCCCAGGCATGAAGCAGACCTCCCGTGTCATGGGGTCAGATGGGACCTTCCAGTCCTCGTAGGATGGAGTCTCTGATGATGAGGACCCGGCGTTTCTTCCTGCTGGTGTTCGTTCTCTGCCCATTCCATGTCGCGTGGGGAGTGGCATCGTCCCCACTGGAAGCATTTGCTCTGTCTTTCTCTGTCACAGCTGCCAGGGCCTCAAACCTGTTCCCTGGGTGTACCTGGGGAGCTTCCACCACTCTAGGCCGAGCAGCTCTGGATCTGGACACCTTCTGCCACTCCTGCGTTGGATGCGTCTCCTGTGGGGGCTGTACAGTGGGCGACCGGGCCTGCAGAGAACAGAGATAGGCATCAATTTCATCCTCTGCATCCCTGATCCCCCTCAGCCTGGAGCTCCCTCAACTGCTCCTACAGGGCCCTAAGTCAGGCATAGGAGGGACAGGCAAGGGGACCACCAGGCCCCACCCCCCACCAGGCCCCAACCAAGCCCCCCCCACAGACAGGGGGGCAAGGGGCCACTGACCCTGCCACGAGCTCCATCTGGGTGGAGGCCTCAGAAGAACCCATGGCAGGCGGCAGCGCCAGGGCGAGGACCCTGGCAGCGACGCTCTGCATCTGCACCATGTCTGCAGAGCTGCGTCTACTGCTCTCGCTTGCTGGAGGCGCCCCTCTGGGCCACTACTTCGTGCCTACCTTATGCGAATGCCGGTGCATTTGCATAAGGCATTTGCACTACAGGGTAATGTAATTACAGGGTTTTTACAGGGTAAA